TCTCGCCTCGCCTCCACCAGCAGCGGCAGCCAGATCCGTCCGCCCGGCCGCCTCGCGAGGGTCCATCCGCCGATCCCCCTCGACCCTCTCGCCGCCGGCCGGTGGCTCGTCTGATCGGTGAGTCGCGGAATGCTGCTCCGTGCTCGTGAGTATGTAGTTCCCAGGATTTCTGTTAGGCGGTTTGGTTTGATCGATCGCGATGGGGTTCGTGGATGCAGGAGCGTGCGTGCGCTCGCGTGCGGCGGCGGTTAGGGACGGCGGAGACAAGCGCGGAGTCGATCTGAGAGGGAGGGGCGAACCCCTTCGCGCTCCTGTGGGTTTCGATCTGTTCGTCGGGTGTAGATCCGGAAGGTATCGATCCATCTGTCCTCTGTAGATCCACGATTCTGCTAATATCTGCTATCTATGTTGTGGTTTGCGATTTTGCACAGTGAAAGCGTAGTTTTGCGCATGATTGTTTCCATCAAAGTCGATGTTTTTGTTAAGTTTTCAGTACCGCTAGTGTTGTGATCAATAGTGCTGTGATCAAAATGGCATGTTCAGATGTTCTGATGTGCGTTTCATTTGCCTGGCACCAGGGCTTGGTTCGATCTGCCACTTACGACTTGGCGCCATGGAGACTCTGGTCATCTCGCAGCAGCGCAGCCACCACCACCACCACCACCACTCTGGTCGCCGGAGGAAGCCATCCCCGCACACCTCGTCGCCTCAGCCCATGCGTGGCTACCACGCCTTCAACTGCCGTGCCTTCCACTCCAGTATCAGCATCGGCATCCTGCCGTCCCCGCCCCCACCCCCACCTCCGCCTGCCCCCCGGGCTCGGACCTACTCCCCGGAGCCCAAGACGCCCAAGCAGCAGCTGCACAATGGCAAAAAGCGCAGCAGGGCGATTCCTATAACTCCATCAGGATCTCCTCCTTCCCGTCCCGAGCTTTGGGCTGGCCCGGCATACTCCAACTCGCCGCCACCCAGCTCGCTGCCTATTCCCAAGTTCTCACTCCACCAGAAGCGCAGTGTATCGCTTGAGTTGCCACCTGCTGATAGGCCAGAGCATGTGGAGGTGCTTGTGCATGCTAAGTCTGCACCTTCGACACCCACTGCTGGCTCAGGACTTGGCTTCTTCGGTGACAATGATACTGCCATTGCCACGGAGAATCTGAGGAGGATCCTTAATTTGGAAATCACCGAGGACTGAATGATGGGGGCATCACCGTGTACATAGGTCATCAGCAACTAACCTTGGGTACTTTGTATAAAGTAACTTAGAATAGCAGCCTTCCACCTAGATTCTGCATCAACAGGAGTACTGTTAGGTGTGTTAGCAAGCACATCATGACTCGCGGGAAGCTGCCGTGAAGGATGTGGTGGTGGTGGAGACTGTTGGGGTGGAGAGAGCACAGCAGTTTCAGAGTCACCTTGTAGCTTGTGTTCACCTATAGGGTTCCAACTTTATTTAGGTGTTAGATCTTCATTCCCATCCATGGTCAGTGATCCATTAGTGGTTGGTAGTCTGCGTGATCCTAGCTAGTAGGAAACTGCAGCAGGCAGGGGTAGGGTAATAAGTTCTGTTCTACTGTTAGATAACTAGAGTTTACGCTCCAGCATCTGTTCCCATCTTATATTCTGTAGGATGTCTGCATATTATATTCTTCTGATACATACATTCTGCCTCGCCATCTTGACACTCCTCTCACACCGACTTCCCTGGTGCTCTGCAAAGAACACAAGGATCTCTCCTCGCTGGCTCTTCTGTATTTTTTGGAATGAAGAAGCCAGTGGAGGTTCAAGAAGCCCCCCTTCGATGCCCTTTCTCCCTCATCTGTCAACTGACTTTTATCTGCACATCTCCCCTCCCACCTTAGTTTGTTGCATATGTAGCATGTCAGATCCCCTCCCCTGCCATCCAATCTTCATTCCATGCATATAATCTAAAGTTCCATCCAGTGGCACCTTGTGTAGATCCTCGTTCATGTTCATGTCCATGGAACATGTGGAGGGTTTGAGTTCCGTTGGCATGTTTGATAAAGGATGCAAGATTCCATTTCAGAGACCTGCGAGCGGACAAACCATAATACGGTAATTTTTTGTGTGCTGCTTCTTTAATCTTATTACATCTGTTGATTTCTGTGGCTAATATTGAAGTGATTCTTGTGCTGTGGTGCTGCAGGTTGGCTTATCCAGTGCACTTCATGGCGCACAAACCTGGGGTGCTCAGCCGAGTTTGCAATAAATCTAGTTGCTTGTTTCCTTTTTAGTTAAAGAGCAGCGCAGCTTATGCTAGACTGTTTCATTTTATGTAATACCTGCTTGGCTAGCTGTTTCTGGTACTGTTTAAACCTTGGACCTAGTGGTGTTCCACCTTCTAAGCAGATGTTGCTGCTTTCTTTGTTAGCTTCGCTTGTTTGAGCGCATAAATGCAAGACGACCTTTATGTCGGTGTTAAATTCTCTGGTGAACGTCGTGTTGTCGACCATTTGTGAAGATCAGTATGTTTTATAATCTAGTTTGTTGTTAACTTCTTTGACCTGAATTAAGTTATGTGTGTGATTTGACCTGTTTTTAATGTACTCGCCTGGTGTGATGCTTGTGTTCTCTGACTGAGACTTAAGGCATTAAGCATTCTATTAGTCAGCTGGTTTTGGATTGCGAAGCATATCTCTATTATCAGGTGCTTTGCGATGGTATTGTTATTTTTTTTTAAAAAGAGAAACAGAGACGTGTGTGTGTGTGTGTGTGTGTCAACCTATTCCTTGTTTAGGAATCATGATAGGATGTAATATCACTATCAATCCAGTCTTGAAGTTTTTGAAACTTGCTGTCTTTGATCCTGTAGCTCATGATCTTGGATCCTGTTTGAGAAGAGCTTTCCAGCAGAGACGGCTTGGATTGATGTTTGAGGTGCTCCTCCTTCTGTTATTCACGATTGAATCCCAACACCTTAAAGCAAAAGGATAGTCTCAGAAAAGGCATTGAGAGTTGGAAAGGGCACAAAGATATGAGGGAGCCAGAATGATTTCCTCTGAAGAAGACTCTTAGCGTTCAACTGTCCTTTTATTCAGTTTAAATTTGCTGGAGCAAATCTTGCAGCTACTCAAACTGATTGAAGGCTCGCAATGAAAGTGGTCTATGAAAGAATTCTTTGACTATGATTGGGCCGAACAGTGGCAGAGCCTCCAGATTTGCGGAGAGAACAACCTATTTGATGGAAGTTGTATCACTGATTGCAAACGACTACAGGTCAGGGAATAGCTCAATGCAAGATCTGTCATTCCACTTATCTGACCACAGGAGAATAGTGTGTCCTTGCCCAATCTTACAACGAGCAACAGCCTTGAATTGGGGAGTGATTTGCGGATGCTCTTCCACCAGAAAGACCCAACCATCCTGCCCTGAGGTGGTCTAGGCTCATCATAAGTGTGCCACACAAGATTAACCCATGGTAAATCATAATGACTGAAGAACTTGTGCAAGTGTGTGTTTCAACAACAATGCCTTGTTGCGAGTCCCAATATTCAACACCCCAATCCTCCATCTTTTTTACCCAAACAAACTTTATCCCATGCAATCAAAGCAGTGCCTTTATCAGTTTATCTTCCATACCATATTTTCTCCTGAAGCAATGCTTGAGGTATTTGTTTATCTGATCTCACACAGATTTAGGCAGCTGGAAGGAACACACGAAGAAAATGGGCAAACCGGTAAATAGTGGCTTAACCAGTCGGAGTTTCTCCCCATAATTGAGCATCCATACAATCTTCTTTCAATCATTAGTCGTCATGGTATTGTTAATCAGACACAACTTGGGTCATTAGCGTAGCGTGAGACGTACGTAATGGCAAATCGACTAGTCGACGGATACCTAATGATGGAAGATGGAGAGGTAAGGGACCTGATGATGGACAACGACACGCAAATAATGGCGAGTCGACAGCACGTAATCGACGACAGGCATCCTCTCTGTTAGAGTAAAACGAGATTGAAAGCGAAAGGACAATCAGTCTTGGTTTCCATTGATTCTCAAGTATATATACATCTGAAAGAGGTGGGAAAAAGAGGTGTCTGTTCGGAGGCATCCCTCCAGAACAGGTGCCTATTGGCAATAGAAAGAGAGAAGGGACATGACTGTTCGGGGTTGGACACACCCCTTTTCTAATGACTATTCATTAATTAGCATGTGCTAATTAATCTACTAATTAATTCCTAACACTCCCCCTTGTACAACACCGCTCCTTGAATGTTTCATCATTGAAAACTTCTTGTACATAGATCTTCCATCTTGAGAAATCTTCCGTATAATCTTGAGAGTCTCCTCCAAAAACCCTGTGGGAAAAATATGAGGAGAATAGAGCAGATATGTTGCTAAAACTCCTTTAAACCCAATGGAAAAAATAATAAGGAGAAGAAGTGCAACATATAAAAATTATTGTCTCCTTGATAACTCATATGAGAAAACCTTTGAGAAAGGAGAAAACTCATTGGTGAGTTTGGAGAAAAATAAATATGCTTTGTATACTTTCCTTTAAAAACCCCAGTGGGGAAAAATAAAAAGTATTGCATATGTCGCCTCGTTAAAACCTTTTATGAGAAACTTTGAGGGAAAGCTCATAAGGGAAAAGAGTGTGATCTGATATATCATTGAAAACTCCTTTAAAACCCAGTGGGAAAGTATAAGGAGAAAATGATATGACATATCATAATAATTGTCTCTTTTAACTCGATATGAGAAAATCCATAGAGTTTAGAGGACAATAAATATGCCGTGTATACTTTCCTAAAAACTCCAGTGGAGAAAACAGAAAGTATGACATATGATCTCATGTTGATATTACCTCATTAAAAACCTTGATGAGAACCTGTAAAAGTAAACTCATAAAGGGAAAAAGAGTATAATATGGTGCTTTGAATAGGAGTAATTCGGGAAGATACTCCCCCTGATACTTGCAAATCCTGAAGTCGTCGAATACCAATTCCATGAACATCTTTCTGAAATGTTCAAGTTGGTAGAGACTTCATAGACAAATCAATGAGATTGTCACGTGACTTGATTTGCAAGATGAGCAATATAGTGATATTGCTTACTATGTAACCTGTTTGCATCTAGACAACACAAGCAACATTATCTTTGAGATAATGGTTGGTGGATGTAGCCACGAGGTCTGTTTCGAAGACCTTCATGGGATGGCTACCACACCTAGCTGGAACACAAAGCTTGTCTATGGTCTAGCATGGTAGGGATCTGATCAATGGATCCAATGATATTGATGTCTAGATTTCTCTAAAACTGAAAGACTCGGACAAAATGTTTGATGCCTTGGAGATATCAAAAGATATTCTTGACTCCCAACCAATTGTGTTTGGTGGGTCCAATGGCACAAGGATATGGAACTTTGTGTCCCAATATCTCATTCCCATCAACTCATGGTTTTAATGGATCTTTCTCTATGTCTAGAGAATGAAGCCATGTGAGTTATGGATGTATAAGATTTGTCCACAATGAATTTCTCCAATATATTTTGGATATAGACAACATAGTGTACCATAATGTATGAGTGAAGGTGCTCGAGGTTTTACCCAATCCTTCATCTCAAAACCCGCCATTAATATGATCATGTGCTTCGTCATTGCAGGAGTAATCCCTGTGTATGACAGACATGCATGGGTAATCATCATTGTAGGAGTAATCCTTGTGTATAAGGAACTCACTATGTCGGATGTACCAAAATGTACCGACAACAATAAGTCATATGGTCACTTACTGGTTTTTACAAAGTGTATGTTGCGTTTTGCATTTTGATTCAGAAGTGAGATTCCATTGGGAACCATCTATGTCTAAATCTAGTGATCAACATGGATATGTTATCACTACATCTATCAACTGCATAAATAGATGATTTTGTACTGCCAATGATATAAGTTATCGGAATGAGATTTCACCTCTGGAGAAAAGTTGGGTATCTGCGTGAACCCTTGTGCTACAAGACTTGCTCTATGTTTCACCACCTCGTTGTTCCCAATTCTGTTTTCAGAAGAAAACTGGTGTAGGTATTGCTTATGTGAATACCTTTCCCTTTATTGAGCAAAATTATTTCTACCTAGATTATACCCTTTGCTCGAGTTCAGTCCGAGTGTTGTTCACACTTTGCCATGGCCATGGTCTTTGGACCTGAATCATGTGAAAGGTTTTTTAAATCTAGT